ACGCCGGTGGACCAGTGATCCAGCTGGGAGCCACGTGGTGTTGGAGCGGTGGGTGGGCAGGAAAATGGAAGCTACATGCAGGGGAAATGGCAGTGAGCAGGCAGAAGCATAGCGTCTGCGCCAGTGTCCCCAGGTCAGCACTGGCAGGGCCCAGAGCAGGGTGGCAGCAGCATGGGGCCGGGCTAGCAGGAGTACTATAGAGCCAGGCCAGTTCCCCCCATCTCCGTGGTGGCACAGCCTGGCTTGGCTCCATAAAGCCCCTGCCAGCCTGTGACCCGCACTCCTGCTACCCCACTCCAGGACATGGGCGCAGGCCCTGCACTCCTCCCTGCCTGCCGCCACTCTCACCAGTTTCCTGCCCGCTGCTGCAGTGCTCTCACACCATGTGGTTCCCGGCTGCCAGGCCGGACCACAGGACTCAACAGGAGCTGGCTTGGCCTGGCCCTGAGAACTGGGGCAATCATTCGCGGTCCTCCCGTGTTCTTATATGAATTTCCCTCTCAGGGGGAGGGAACAGCTCCACAGTCCCAGGCCAAAAGCCTCTGCTAGCCAGAGGCTTCCAGTTGGGGTGGCAGGTGGGGTGGGGGTGAGGCAGGGCCAGGTGGGCCTTGCTGTTGGGTCCTTCTGCTGGCTTCCTCTGGATCCTACTGCCCCTGGTTTCTGTCATCTTTGACAGGCAACCAGGAGCAGATAAATATTAATTTTCTAAATTTTTTAGGGGCCCCATGGGTTGGATAGAATGGCCTGGTAGACCAAATATGGCCCACAGGCTGTATTTTGTCTGCCCTTGGGCTAGCATCTTTCCCACAGAGACAAACCCACTGTGATTATTTTCAATATTTTTCTGATGCATAGGTTCAGGGTCTGAATTGTGTAGTGTATCGGAGTGGTGGAATGTTATCTCAAGGCTTTCTGGAAGAAGCAAATTCTGAGGAGGGATCTGAACATGGTGAGGGAGGTCATTTGACATTCAAGGAGACAAGGATGGAGATGTCTTCAAGCATCATAAAGTGGCCTGGAAGGAGGCTGAGAGACGAGACTAGGGAGAAAACCCCAAAAGGGGGCTTTTGTGAGACAGTTTAGCAGGAGACAGAAGGAAAACACAGAGCTAGGATGAGATGAGTTGGAAGGACCTTCAAGAAGAGCATTAGCAGCTTGAATGCAAAGTTGGGAGGCAGCCAGGGAAGGCAGAGTGGCCAAGAAGCTGAAGCAGAAAGAGAATTTTAGCATTAGCAGCACCATATTGCAGCCAGACTGTTGGGAGATGAGATGAGAGGCAGGGATCGATAAAGAGGTTACATACCTTAAATCCTAAAATGAGAACGAGCCAGAGGTCGGAGTAAAGCGACGCACAGAACTGCATCCTGCTCACTGAACATGTCACTCCCTTCTCAGTTGCCTAGGAGGCAAGCATGACACAAACATGAAGGCTCCTGTCCCCTAACCACAAGGTGGGCCGGGCAAATGGGCAGATACATGGGTTTATGAGGGTAGGTAGGCTACTTATTTCAAAATGAAAAAGCAAAAGCATGTGTGGCTGTAAGGAGAGTGCTGCTGACAGTGAAGAATTCAAGACAGAGAGAAAGACACACATGTGGGGTTTGGTTGTTTTCTACCTAAAAGGCTGATTCCAATTATATCTGCAGGAGAGTAGCACATTCCAGATAGACTTCACTGGGAAGTGCAAAGGGTGTTGGGTGAAACCTGCAATGGTACCCAACCAAAACTCTGGATCTAGAACTCACTTTCCAGCTTTGGGCATCTTGGGGCTGGAAACTCCTATCTGTCTAAGGAGCTGAATAACAACCCAGCTTGCAATGGCCTCAGGAAGCCCAAGCTCTGCACCATAGGCACTTTATTTATCACACACAACCATCCACCAACACGTTGTGGACACAGAGAACTGTGGAGATAAACCACAGCATGGCACAGGCACAGAGGCGCAGTGCTCAGCACCCAACCCTTGTCCCCCTTACCCTCATGGATGCGCTGAGGCTTCGGAAACACTGAACTGGATCAGAGAAAACCCATGTCAAGAGGAGAATAGCATCTGCAAGCACCAGCACTGCCACCATCACCAGCAGCTGGAGGTCTTTGATAATCTGCAACACAGGGACAGACCATGTGCCAGACTGGGGCAGAGGAGAGCCTATGGCATCAAGCTCTCACAGCTCCTTTGCAAGCACTTCTTTCCCAGGACACAGTGCAACTCTGCAGTTTATTCCATGTCGAGTGGACCCCCCCAGTTACAGCACTAGCTGCTTCCAAGCTGTATTACCTCCAGCAGGCCCAGCTGGGATTGCAGCTTGCTCTGTAGTTACCTCTCAGAGGCACAGCCAGAAAATATGTGCAATGACACGTTCAACACTGAACAGGGTTTACTTGCCCATAGGAATAGGACAAGCAGGGAGAAAAGGGTTAACAATATAAAGGCCCACGTGCGCATGGTCTTACCTAAGCTTGCCATCCTGTGCAAGTGGAGGTTGGGGCTGAGGTGCCCTGGTTACTACAGGCTCTGTTTCTCTGCCAAGCCCTGGCTCTCCTCTGGGACTCAGCTTTTTACTGCTTCCAAGATCTTTTACTGGATAGCTTCTCCCTTTCCCCTTGCAAGCTCCTTGGGTTTAAAGCTGGAGATAACCCCCACACCTGTCCCATGGGACTAGCCAGACCCTGGCTCCCCCCATGGAGGATAGCTTCTTAGCACTTATCAAAGGATGGCTGCTCACACCCAGCAGCTTTTGGCTCCTGCAGTCCAAAGCTGGCTCCTAGTGATGGAGTTCCTAATTCACCATTTCATCAGCTACACAGCGATTATCAAGTCCACAGACATTGTACGGTACAGTCGCAACTTGCGTGTATTTAACTTATGCGAATTCAGCTTTATGTGCTTGGGTGCTGGGGCTGGCCGATGGGTGCCAGCTGGGGCATGGCGCATAGTGTGGCGCTGCATGGCGCCACGTGGTATTGCCTGCATGCGCTGGCATGGCTGGGGGGCTCATGCTCAGCTGGCTGCCTTGTCAGGGCCCGGTGGCAGCGGTGGCTGCTTGGCGCCAAGCCCAGAGATTTCAGCTATACGCCATTTCAACTATATGCGCTGACTTCAGAATGTAACCCCCGCGTAACTTGCGACTGTACTGTACAGCATTGCTGGAGACTGATACAGACTTCTCCTATGTGCCAGGCCTTCTCCCTCCCATGTGGAGGAGGGGGTCTTCCAATTAACTTTTCTGCACACACTGCACATGGTCCAGCCTCTTCCTGAGGTGGCTTTGCTAGGCATGCAGGGTCAGGAATACTTGCACTTGTTTTCATAACAGTTCTAGGCCTGAATGAAAACCCAGGCCCAAGTAAGTCTGAGCCCCAGGCAGGACTGGAATCCAAGTCCCCACAGACAGGTCTCTCACTCTGCAACACGTAGAACCAAAACGCAGCGTGCCAGACCACTCCCCTTCACTCTCTCAGCAAACTCAAAAGTGTTATAAATGTCCAAATTCCAAAGCCTGAAAACAGCAGTTATAACAAGGCCCAGGAACTTGATCCAGCTGTTTGAAAAAAGACCCTCCCTCCACCCCCAAAACAGTACAGAAAACTGGAGTTTGAGCTCAGCAAGCTCAAGGAACAGGGTCTAGGTATTGCTTGTGGTGCCACAAACTGCACAACCCATTCACTGTGCTGCAAATTAGCAGCATGGAGGGGTATTTTTGACACTAGGATATCCTGGTGTCAAAAAAACCAAACGAACCAAAAACCACGCTGCTGAAACAAGTGGTGTGGCACATGTGGCAGCAGCATGCACCAGCAGAAAGGGAACCTGGCCAGCCAGAGCCATGTTCTGGCTGCTGGCCAGACTCCAACCAGTCAGATCACTGCCACTGCTGCCCTGGGAGGCCCCCAGGACCCCAGGTAAGGCTGCTGTTGCCAGCAAAGGTGCTGGCACCAGCCTCCTCTATCCTACCTCCCCTACCTCAGATTTGTGCTGCTGCTGTTTTTGCTGCAGCAACCACACCACTGCCTGTGGGGACATACCCAGAATGTCCATTGGTAAGTACAGATGGATGGACATCCCCACCCCAAAAAGCATGTCCTTTACACATGTACACATGTCCTTTATACTGTTCTTATGGGGGAGCCTTTTCACTCTCACTTTGCCCCAGGGCAGATGACTGTGCAAGGCAGTGGGAAATGAGACCAAACCATGCTCACAGCTTTCTTACCCAACTGGGTGAGCCTCCACCTCCTTCCCCCAAACCCTGAAGTCACCACATTTCCCATGGTCTCTAACTTGGAGCTCATCCACACATCCTGCAAACAACATGGAGCCCTACTGGGTTGGTATGCAACACTTTCCATCATTCCTCAGTGCAGCCCCAGAGAGGGGAGGGCCCAGTACCTCAACCTTAGAGGAGCCTCTGTGCTTTGCTGCCCAGAGTGCATGCAATGGGTACTCACCACCCTCTTGTCAGGAACCCGCTGGGTGAACACTCTGTACAGCCGCCAAGTTTTTCCCAGGACAGGCCCAAGGACAAGAGAAGTCCCCACACACAGCAAGCAGAGTCTCACCTACAGGCGGAAGGTGAAAAGAGTGAGTGATGGGAGTGGATGTTCCCAAGGCAACATCCAGTGACACTCAGGAGTCTTTTTCCCTGCACTGCTTCCCCTTTGCTCCTGAGGTAGGAGGTCCATATCCCCTTCCCTGGGCCCAACAGAGTTCCCAGCACCAGAGGAAGGAAAGCTGGTGAACAGGAGCTCTGCATCAGCAGTGGGCTAAAAAACATACTGCTAGAAGACAGAAAATCTGGATCTAGCAGGCTGAGAAACTCATCAGTCCTTGTACAGGAGACCTCCATGTCAGGGTACCTGTGTGGTCAGTGGCCTATCCACCTCAGAGGTGACTACTACTCAGAGAAGTCAACCAGGGATGCCATTTCCCAAGAAACTGCTGTGACCATCATGTTACTAGCCACCAGCTAGAGAGGTGACAGGAACCACATGTGGACTGGGACTGTGCCACGTGCTTGCCCCAGTCCCCCACCAGGGCCAGTAGCCAGATATCCAGGACATGGAGCGGAGCAGAAGGAGCAAACCAAAAGGCAGGAGCAGGTAGGAGGTTCCTCATGAAGCAAACAGACCAGAGCTGCCTGAGGGTGACAGGTTTTCCCACTAGGACTGGAGCACCTCTATAATGCTAGCAGGGACCTCCATCAATTAGCTGCACAACCTCCCTGCCTCTGACTTCCCACCACATTGGCCTCAAGTGCTGGATGCTCTCACTCTGCAGTGCTCCCCCTTCTTCCCCTCACTTTACAGGAGAGGCCCAAGGTTAGGACCCAGGGTTTATCTGCATGGAGGGGGGGTGGTATTTCCATACAGATTCCTAAGTTTGATTTGCACTCAGGGAATGGCCTGGCTGCCTGTGAGATCTGTGCTACACATAGGTAAGCAGCTGCTGTGAGGGGTCCCTTCCTCACTGACACACACATTCTGTACGACACCTTTACAGGTCAAGGAGCCTTTCTGCCAGTCTGCAGGGGCACACTGCTGGAATTCCTTACCCGCCACCCTTCCCTTTATGGCTTTTTTTGCAGCC